CTATCCAAGACGCTCTAGCGCCTATAGGCGCCGGCGCCAGGCGTTTTCGCGCTAAACTGATGTGATATTCGTGTTCTACGGGTCGAAATACCCCTGGAGACAACTTTCTAGCCAAATCCTTAGTCATGGACGAATTTCGATCAAAATCCGGCTCAGTTCTCGAGGAGTGGGGCAGTAAAGAGGTAAATAGTGTCGAAGTATATTTCGAATGAGTTGATTACGTATCATGAGCGCTGTTGATTGTGTTTAGTATTGGAGAGCAAAGTGGAGTGGCTCCTGTGGACTGCATAGCACCGACTGAAGGAATGAATTCGTCGTGATATCGAACAAGGCGATAGCAATTAAAGAAGGGATCTCTGCGATAAGCAGCATTGAGGGGAAAGCGGAAAGCGAAGTGGGGTAGTCGGGATTGTTCCCAAAGAGCCTTCACAGGAATTGGTGGAATCCAGTGGGAGTTGGTATGAATGAAAAACGAAAGATTGAAATACAGGGTTCCAACGGGAAAGGGGGACTATGACGACTGCTAAATTTCGCAACCTTGGGGCTGGTGTCAGAGTCCGCGAGCGATCCGTCGCGCGATTAGCGCGGATCGCAAAATCGCAATGCCCCATTTGAAACACTGAATATGAAACAAGTGGAATCATGAACAGTCGTCATTCAGCCATCACCATCAAGCAGAAATGGCGGCGGGATTGGAGAGCACCTCGCAGTATTGATCGGGCACTTGTGATTTCTGTGATCCATCGCGCGATTCGCGCGAATCGCGCGACGGATCGCGGACTCTGACCCAGCTTAACAGTGTCCGCTAGGATGTGGCGATAATTTGTCGAGTGAGTAATTGGCGTTAAAATTCAAAAGGCAATGTTTGATGAAAATGTGACTCTGGTGATCAGTGATGAGTATGCATGTATTTAAAGGGAGTGCTGTGATGTTTGTGAAATGATAATCGGAATTTGTACAATATTAGAGTAGTTAATGTTTTTAACTTGTCGTTCAGGTTTAGTAGGAAAACAAGTTGATGCATGTTTTCAAAGTGATTACACATAATTCAGATGTGTTGTGCTATGTGTACACGTCGGGTACAACCGGAAATCCAAAGCCAGCTGTCATCAAGCATTTCCGGTTCGTACAACAGTTCTAGTCGGGTTTTTTTTGCGTTCTGTTGATGGGTGACAATAATGGACTGAGTGATTGACTCGATCTGAATGTCCATGCAACTAACTCATTGAAGTTGAATGGTAATTGCACGAAATGGGGCTGTTGAGTGTCACACTCTAGTAGCTTAAGCCGGGTTTTCACACTTGGTTTCCTAATTGGATATTGGTATTCTGATGTGTGGGTGTGGGTTGCTAGGAGAGAAAGCGACTTTTTATCCGTTCGCAGCGCGAAACTTTGTGCTGCGGGAGCTCAGGTCTACTGTTAATCAGGGTGGATCGAGGGTCACGCAGTGAAAAAGTTTCGCTCTGCAAGAATCGCAAGAATTACTTTCTGTACCTAGCGAACCACACTCGTGATTTGTGGTGACCA